GCCTGAACTGAGAACCGGCTCTGTTTCCCCTTGAAGCATACAGTCACTCATTACACGAACCACATGGGTTCTCTTAGCAAAGACAACAGGGCCCAACCACCAGGTCTTCCATATTAGGGATGAATGGGTGTGTGCTGGAGTACCAGTATGTGTATTTTTATAAAAGGAGGTACTAAAATTTCTACTTTCATTTTTAGTCATTTTGAAATCTTGAACAGCATTTAAGGAGAGGGTGAAATGCTTCTCTCTCTCTAAAGGTGGTAAAATGCTGGCCTGATAACATTCTAAACGTTTTTCCACATCCTTAGAATCTTGAATTGTTGGTAAATATTCTATCGTTATTTATCTCACCAATCCCCCATTCATGGACAAAGAAGTTGTTTTCCATTTTTCCTCATTCAGATATTGCCAGGATGGCCATTCTTGGAGTGCAATTTTCATGCACTTTCCTTTTGCCCCATGAGTGGAACTGCTGGGCCGTTTTCAGGCTTTGGAGAGCTGTCACCACAGTGTCCTCTGGAGAGTGTGAGCTAGCTGCCCTCCCACCAGCAGATAGGAGTATATGGCTCATCTTCGCTACAAAATGAACCAACTACATTTTTGTGGCCTTTTTTTTTCTAAGCAAAGACTTATTTTCTTCCTCATTTACATCAGGCTATCAGCTGGCAGCTGCCTGTATGTGCAGAAGTTCCTTCTGTCCCCAGCACCGGACTGGTCCCGACTGATGCTAAGACCCCCAGGTCTGCCAGGCGGTCTCCCCAGGCAGGGGGAGTGTGGCTGACGCCTGCCTGCTCTCCTGCAGGTCCACAGATACTCACAAAGAGGACCCCCATTTATGGGGCACTTCCTGTCACTCAGGGCCTTGAGATGACTGTACTGGCCCCTGACCCCCACTGCCCTTCATGTCTCCCATCTGCTCTAGCTAGAGCCAGAGGGCTGTGTTGTCCCTTGCCTGGGGTGGGGGGTTGCCTCCAAGAGGCAGTGGGGCCCCGCTTCAGGCCAGCTTCATTCCCCTAGTGCCCTGTGGAATAATAAGCGGGGGTTACAGGGCCCTCAAGTTTGTGCGTGACCCTCCAGCCCCCCGCCAGCTTTCTAGCCTCCAAGGAAAATATTTCTTGCCTCGATTGCTCCCCTCTACCCTAAGAGCTTTTTCTAGGAGTTGAGAAGGTTGAAATACAAATGAAACATGCCCTGTTCCCTTCATGGGAGCGAGGTGCCCACTCAGGACCACCGCCTACCTTTGCTGCCAGCACTGCGTTCTGTCCCAGCTGACACGGCTCAGCACGGCACAGCCCCACTTCCCAGCCGCCCTCATAGGCAGGCCTGGCCTGGAAAATTCTGCTTTCTGTCAGCCAGAGTCCTCATCATTCTCGTGGTGCCTCCCTGACACTGAGGCCAAGTGTCAGCTACCACTTGTCATCACACTTGCAGTTTTTATTATGGTGGAGAAATATTTCTCTGAATCTGGGTTTCCACCAAAAGCGGACCAAGGCGAGCCCACTGTGGCCTTGGGAGTCTCCCCTAGGGTGGGCTGAAGCACAGGGTGGGAAGAACCAGGAAACTCAGCTCTTGCCCCATGGCCGGGGCCAGGACAGCTTCTCCTGACTGGTTTCATTTTATATCACATGCATTTTTGGTTCGTGCCTGTTACCATCAGCAGCTTGGATGCCTTTGGAAGTACGTGGGGGTATAGATGAACTCGTGACCCTTCTTCCCCCACTCGCCACCACCTCTGATCAGAGGCTATGGACGCCCCCACTCCTGCGGGAGGGCAGGTTCAGTGACAGAAGTTCCCCATTTCACCATCATGCAAATGCCTGTGGGGCACTGATCTACAAGCCCGGAGCAGGAGGCCAGGCGGCCCTGCAGCCTGGGCGGACAGCCAGCGAACCCAGGGAGGAAGGGCTCCCAGCATTGTGAGGAGAAGCTGAGCCTGGCTGGGGGCTGAGCCTCACATGCTCCTCACTGAGGGCCAAAGGTGGGAACCAGACACAGGCTGCCCTGACCCAGCCCTGCTCCTAAACACTGCACTTCCTGGTGACATGGCTGCCACCGGCCCAGGGGCTGGGTAGCTGTGTGCCACAGAGCCCAGTCTAGGTGTGACCTGTGCATCTGCAAAGCCACCTGAACATGAACAGACACTGGCTCCGATTCAGCAGCATACACTTTATTTCTAAATAGGCATCCAGTGACATGACTGTTCACACATCTATTCCTGACTCCCTTAAAGAGTCAGAGATGGCGCAGGGGCTCCCGCATGGCAGCCACAGGCCCCCCACCTCTGACCCGCTTTCCCCCCCAGCCCGAAGCCCCATCAAGAAGAGCAGCACAGCACTGCTCAGGAAACGGGCCTAACAGGGGCCTCTCCCAGCTCACTTGCAGGAGAAAAATGAGTACGTCTGGCCTTCATAATGCTTCTTAAAACAAAAACCCAGCACTCTTCATTTTTACATAGGAAATGATGAAAAGGAACGTAAGATTCACATCCATCTTGACAATTCAAGCTTTGCCATCTTGAGGACAATTCAAGCTTTGCAGATCCCTACTTGGAGAAACCGTCAATGCCTTTGGTATAAGCCAGGCCGTGCCCACCATCCAGGTGGGAGTAGTGGGGCCTCCCCATCCCAGCCTGAGGCTCTGTCTCCACAGGGCTGGCAGGTGACTTTTGACCACGGATGCATATCTTCCTATCCAGTCACAGGCCCACTGCTCACCAGCACTTCACATTCACCCCAAAGCCAGTGAAGCCCCCACAGAGCAGCCAGGGAGACCAACTCAAGGGCACCAGAGAGCACAGCAAGAAAATGGCTCGGGGGAGGGGGATGGGACAGGGCAGGGGTGTGTATTAGTCTTCCTTCTGTTACATGCCCGCTAACAGTGAAGCCCCTCAATGTCTAACTGTTGGAGAACTGTTTGGGAAATGGCAGGAGCCTAAATGGAAGGGGGCTGGCTCTTTATTCTCTTGAAGCCTTTATCTGACTGAGATGGAGGGCGTTAGGCAGAGGGCCCGGAGCTCTGGAGACGCCTTCCCAAGGACACTGCTTCATGACTGCATCAGGAAGCTCAGGGTTTCCTACCTGCCCCCAGCAAGGGCAGCACACACTGGCACTCACTCGGCAGGGAATCTGGGGGGCAGAGGGGGACCTTTTCTCTTCTGCATGTGAAATCCTTGTCAGTGGCAGCCAACGGCCACTGAGCTTCTCCCCACACAGGAATCAGGCAGCAGTTCCAGCCCTGAGCCACCCCCGGCCACACCCACACCCCAGCCTGCACCCTCCTCAGCAGAAGAGGCCTGGCCTCGGCCACCCTGCTGAGGACTCTGTAAGCATATGCGCCCCGTGGGAACATGGACCCGAGACTTCATGAGGCCAAGCCGTGCCGATGGCACCCTTGCCAAGGGTTTTAAGAAGGGTCCCCAGTCACCCATCTTTCGGCATTCCATGGCACACAAAGGAATCCTGTGGGCTAACCTGGGTGACTCTGGCGCTCAGGCCTGCCCCTTGGCCTCATGCCAGCCAGCTCGGCTGGCCCAGCCCAGTCCACCCACTGTGAAGAGGGGTGGCTGGCTTAGGGTAGGGGCCGAGAGGGCTTCAGTTCTGCCTCTGGGCAGAGTGTCTGAGCTCTAGATGATGGAACTGAGCCACCCTTAGCCTGGCCCTGGCCCAGCCCCCTGCAAACTTATGTCGGGAACCTAGAAGCCAGCCCCTTTCCCTGCGAGACCACACACAAGTCATGGGGTGGTTGTTCCGAGGGGTCATAACAACTACAGGCTGCAGAAAGCATGGGACTTACTCCAAGAACTGGTTCCACACGGTAGCGCCTGTGGTGGAGGGACTGCTGGCTAAAGGCTGGTTTCCCCAGCGCTCCCTGGCTCCAGCCTTCACTCACCCTGAAGTATTCCTCCTACATGCCACAGTTCTCCTGTCCCACGGCCTAGACCCAGAAGAAAATAAATACACATGCAGGAAGATATAGTTAAGCTGCATATTTTTATATCTTCTGCGCATTCACTGCCCCAAATAGAATTATCGGGTGTGCTAAAGGTAGACAGCAGCAATTTGTTATTCTCAGGCAAAGACATTTGAAAAAAACTGACCCAGAAAAACAGACTTCTATGGCCTTTTGTTACCAAGGCGAGTCAAGACTGCCAAGGAACACGGGGTGCCCTCATCTCTTGGGGGCACTCTCCCAGGCTGCTGACCTCACCTGGCCGCCTGGGGGCAGACAAGGCTCACAGGAGATCGAGGCAGGTGCTGGTACCTCCTGGGAAAGGTCCCACCACCCCCTCTGCCCCCCACAAATCCTAGGGCCCCCCACCAAGCCCCACATGCTCTTCCGCTACAGCATCCTTTTCAGGTCTCAGCTGAAAGCATGAGGCCAGGTGTGGCGTGGTTGGGGCTATCAGACCTGGCGGCGAGGGGGCAGACGGAAATGGGATCTGACTCTTTTCATTGCTTTATCTGTGAATTTAAGATTAGGAAAGAAAGAAATCCTGGCAAACAACTGATTGCAAAGCAACTGACATCTGGGAGACGGGACCCTAAACTTCAGGCGAGAGTGAGTTCTGGCAGGGCCGCAAGAACAATCTGGTCTCAGATCCCTGCCCCCACTCGCCCAGGGGCAGGCAAAGGTCCCCACCCTCTGACTTCCTCTCTTCTCCACTAGAAGGAAATGGTGGAGACCAAAATTAAGCAAGGCAATGGCTCAAATTATAGGGTTGAGAAATTTAAAAAGATCATATTTTAGCTCTATCAAGTACAAATTTACTTTTCATGCAAAAAGTAAACAGCGTGCTTCCTGCCCGGCTGGCCTGCTCTCACTTCAGGGGCAAGGCGAGGTGGCAGCATCGGGCCTGGCCTCTTGTTCCTGGCACAGGTCCTGAGGTCAGTCCCTCCTGATATCCGGAGCCACACCGTCTGAGGTGGAAGAGATGGAGATGCGTTTGCTCCAGCCCAGGGACCATGCTGGCCCACCGTGTCCCCAGAGAAGCAGGAATGCACATGGTGAATTAAACCACCCCAGGGGGCCAGGTTCCAAGGCTCCCTGGGACCCAGAACCACATACGGAAGTTGGCAATGGCCTTTCGATGAGCTGAGCAGTTTGAGGCTTGTCAAAGGGGAGGTGAGGAGAGGATGCGAGTCAGTGACTCCATTCCATCTGGACATGACTGACAGCTCCTCACCCTGAGATGGCTGAGGAGGCCGGGCCCCTGGGACAGGGCTGGGGTGTGTGTGCGTGGAGCATCTGCTTCTGACTCCAGGTCGGGGTGGGAGAGGGGAGCACTGGGTGCTGCTGCTCTGGCCCCTGCCCCAGTGCTTTGGGGACCCTAGCATGGGTGACAAATGGGATCCAACGTGGTGGGGAACTGGGAGAGGGGAAAGAGGATGGAACCCTGATTAGCAGCGAAGATGGCAGCAGTGAGCAGACACTGCAGGGCCTCGGCACAGTGGCCTCCGGTTAGACAAAAGAACAACTGAGTATGGGAATGGTGGGGAGGGAGATCAGATGGCAGGAGGTGACTACGAGGCTCTCAGCACTTTGCTGTAAAATGCATGAATTTAAACCTAATTAAGACAGCAGTTGTGGGCCAGCAGGAACCCTGTGCCTCTAGCTTTTCCCTCTAGAGGGCGCTCTGACCCTGCAAGATAAAAGCCTTGGGTTGCAGCTTGCAGGGGGCTCTAAAGAAGATACCAGAAGGTACCAGTGTAAACATTCAGAAGATGCCCAGAGAAAGGCAGCAGCCACCTGCTGTCCAGGGAGACAGGCTGAGAAGTGCCAATCAGACAATGGAAAAAGGTCACTCCGTTTCTCTCCCTCTCCCTGAGGAAGCACAGGAAGTGCCACACAGGGCAGCGGGAGCTTTTCAAGATTTCTGGGCCCTGCCACTTAGGTCAGAATTGTGGCTGTGGAGGCATCTTGATGACTCAAAGGCAGGTGGCTCACCCCTGGCTCTGCCAGTCCGGCGGGGGCAGGATGAAGGCAGTGGCTGGGGAATGGCACACCTGTAGATGGTGCTCTAGGCAGGGGGCCACAGGGGTCCTCCAGGTGGCGGGGTAGGTGCCCCAGCTTCACAGATGACTGGCACTTGGCCCCGTGCTCCCTCCCCTCTGTGGGCCGACAAGCCACACTGAGCAGAGGCTGGCTCAGGGAGGAGTGGGGAGATGACAGTTTCCCAAGAAGTCACCTGGCTCCAAAGGCCTGGCAAGTTCTGGACTAAGGTGACCCTGCAGCCAGTACCTCGCCCCGCCCTCTATGTCTGGAGTCCTGAAGGGGCTGCTGGATGCACACACCTCTGCGAGGCCCCTGCTGAGTGTCTGTGGGCAGCAAACGCCCATCCTGGGCCTGCCTGCCTGAAGCCTTGGCACCTGGCGTCAGAGCAGCTCCTGCTCGTCGTCCTCGGAGCCGGAGGGGCCCTGGCGTACCTCCTCGTACCACTTGTTGGTGAGAGTTTTCATCTGGATGCGCCCGTGGTGCAGGTCCTGGGTCGAGAGACACAACCAAGCCGTCAGGGGCAGGGCCAAGGAAGGGAGGGGAGGCTGCTGGGTGCCTTGGGTGGGGTGTCTGGGGAGGAGGTAGGAGGTAGGGTGATGGCCACAGGCAACTTCAGTTTCAATTGAACAAACTGAGCTGGGATTGTTCTTTGTGGGGGTGGAGATCACGGGAGGTGTCATTCAGAAAGAAGGAGGTAGCATGGCGTGAGGTTGAAAATGTGGTCTCTGGAGTCAGACACACTTAGCTCTGCTCCCAATTATGCCCATATTGGCTGTGATCTCGCGGGGTTACTGCACCCCCTTGGGCCTCCATCTCCTCAGCTGTCAGGGAGACAGCTGCATCCACTGCACAGGATGCTGGAGAAGGAAGCAGTTGTGGTCACAGTCACTGGAGCTGCCTGGCTCCTGGAAGAACGCACACACCGGCAGCTATCAGGCCTGCCCGAGAATGGAAAATGGACCTGCATAGAAACAAAGCAGGCAGCCGCAGGAAGAGCCCCACCCCTACGCAAGGCCTCCAACTAAAGAGAGGCCAGCAGTGCCCCGAGGGACAGAACCAGAGGCCTGAGCTGGGGGCAGCCTTGGGCCACAGCCTGAGGTCCTGGTATGTCTGAAATTCCTCAGCTCTGATTCAGTAGCTGATCGATACCCCATGTCTGTCATCCAGGAAAACCAAACTGTGTTAACAAATCTATTATTAACCTCGCACTAAACGTGGCAGCGAAGGAAAAACAGCAGATGCCGAGTTCCACAAGCATGTCCAGCCTGTAGATCAGGAGGCGGCAGCCTGGCGGGCCCACGTGAGACTTTCTGCCTCCCCACTCTTCCTCCACCCCACCCTGGGCCACCGCAGGTCCTGAAGGAGGCAGGCAAGGGACCCCCAGAAAGTGTGGCCTGGCCGGTATCCCACCTCCTGCGTCAGCCTCCGAGTGAAGAAGGGGTTTAGGTACTTGGCGTCCAGCCACATGAAGCCTTTGAGGTCCTGCCGCCTGATGTAGTGGGCCTCGTACTCCTCCTCCGTGAGCTCCGACAGGTGCTCCGACTCCACAGTGTTGCCCTGAGCAGGGAAGAAAGGCGGCCCGACGGCCATCAGCAGGCACCATCAGGGGCACCTCTGGAAGCACCCACACCACCCAGGCTGCCAGTGTCCCCAATCCTAACTCCACTTGACCATCAGTGCAGGGTGACGATGGGCAGCAGACGGCCTCCTGGGAGCCCGCAGGGAGGCAGGAAGTTCCCTCAGGGCACAATGGATGCCCAGGACCCCACCTAGGACACCTAAAACAGAAGGACTGGGCTGGGCTGGGGCTTGGTTTTTAAGCTTTTCAAGCTTTTTGGGTGATTCTATCATGCAACCAGGACCGAACTGCTGTTCTGGGCTTTTCATTAACAGCAAATTGCACAGGGAGGCTTTTTGTCTCTTTGCCTGTGGGTCTATTAGCTAGGACTCCACCGTGGACAGGCTTTTGCCAATCAAGTCAGGAGAGGAGAGGGGAGAGGGACACATCCTGTAGGCATTGGAGAGGGATGAGAAAAGGGCCCCATGTGGAGGGGAGGGCCAGAGGTGAAGAGGCAGGAGCAAAGCAGACAGGCTCTGAGTGCAGTGCCCGTTCTGCTGCAGGAGCCTTGGTGGGGCCACAGGTGCAGGTGGTGGCGGGGGTTGGGGGGGGGAGATGGGTGCGGGGCAGGAGCAGGGAGGGGAGATGACGGCAGGGGAGGGGAGGGCATTTAGATGCTGTGAAGCAGTGGTTGTCAAACACTGGTCTGTATCAGAATCTACCTGGGGGGCTTGTGAAACCACAAAATACGGAGCCCACTGGAGCCACCTGCAGAGGTGCTAATTCAGTAGATCTGAGTGGGCTTGGGAATCTGCAGATCTAACAGGTTTCCAGTGATGCTGCTAGTCTGGGGACCCCATTTTGAGGACTGCTGATCAGTGTGGTGGTGAAGAACGCAGGCTTGGGAGTCTGCCCGCAGCTGTCTGATCTGATTCTCTTAGTGCCTCAGCATTCTCATCTGCAAAATGGGTATAATGAAAGCACCAGTTTCCAGGCAGGCTATTGGGACAATCTGAGATAGTCCAAGGAAAATGCAAGCACATTGACTGCCGCAGAAAACATTCCAGAAACTCAGCGGTTCATCCTCAGAGGAGCTGTCCTGTTTCTGCTAGTGCTGTGCTTCGCCAAGCGTGTTCACAGGATTGGCTGCAGCAGTACTACCTGGCAACTTGTTAGAAACGCAAATTCTTAGCATGGGCCACATAGTGAGACCCTGTCTCTACTAAAAGTAAGAAAAAAATTAGCTGGGTGGGGTCACGCCTGTCTGGAGTCCCAGCTACTCCAGAGGCTGAGGTGAGAGGATCGCTTGAGCCCAAGAGGTCCGGGCTGCAGTGGGCGGCCATGATCGCGCCACTGCACTTCAGCCTATGCAACAGAGTGAGACCCTGTCTCGGAAATAAAGAAGAAACACAAATTCTTTCGGACCCCATGCCAGACCTATGAGATGCTGGTGACAGACCCAGCAGCCTGTGTGTAGCAACCCCCCACCAATTCTGATACCCAGAAAGACCTAAGCTAGAGCTTTTGTGAAAACCAAAAAAGTTGGTAGATAGGGGTTGGTGGCAAAGGGCCTCTTAGTGTGATGGAAGTTCTGCAGAGCCAGGCCTCACAGCCATCTGGAACTTTCCTCCCAGCAGCACTGCACTGGCTGAGGGGCCCAGTTTGGAGACTGGAGGCCATGGTCTTGCCAGCCCTGACTCCAATGTTAGCCGTGGATGGCTACGTGAGGACTCCTGGGCCTCTGATGACTGATTAAAGTTACTGAGGCCTAGCATATGGAAACTAGAAAGAGATGCATGTCCAGAAATGCACGATTGGCAGGGGATGCTCTGGGCTGGAGCCTACAGCAGCCTCTGCTTTGGTCAGAGGGCCTAGCTTTGCATAGAGGTCCTGAGGGTGAAGACAGGACAGGAAGGCAGCTTGGTGGCAGGGGCAGCGGCTTGTAGGAAGAAGAGGTGGACAGGCTGCAGAGCCTCAGCTCTCCCTACAGCTGGGGCCTGGATACCTCCAACCCCACACCATGTCTGTCCTTGGGGGAGTACCCCTCACGGCCCTCACAGCCACCACAAGCCGTCCTCCCCTCCTCAGGCCCCTAGCAGGTGGTTTTTAGTAAAACCATACTGGGGAATGATGGGATTTTGAAACCCTCAAACCTGGGCCCTGACAGGTGTCTCAGCTGCTGGCAGGGCAGAGGCACTGCTGGGAGAGTGGCATAGGCCCAGACTCCTGTGGTGCCCTATGGAGCTTCAGAGAGGGAGCAGATGGGGTCGCCCACAGCTTCCCTGGCTGCGGCAGGTCACAAAGTTGCCAGATACCCCCCCAACAAGAGCCATGCTTCAGAACTCAAGTCCTGTCACCTCCTTCTCAGTGGGGGACCGGTGTGTGTGCGTGTGTGACGTGTGTGTGGAGGTGCTGGGCGTCCTCAAAGCAAGGCTCATCTCCCCATTTCCTGACAGTGGGGACCATCAGCTGTGCAGCAGGCCAGCCCCCTGCCCCACCCCGCAGGTGCGTGATACTGACCATCTTCTCCGTCTTGCTGAGGTTGACGTCCTTCTTGTTCCTGCGGCGTGCCTTGGTGTCCTCGATGTCCATGAGGCGAATGAGGGGCATGGTGCTGCCGCCCAGCAGCAGGATGGTGAAGAGCACAATGACGATGGTGGTGGTGCCGATGAGCTGTCGCTTCTCCATGGGCTCCAGGTCCAGGTGCAGGCTCAGGGCATAGGGGATGGCCCCCCGCAGGCCTGGGGGACAGCAGAGAGCATGAGAGGACACAGTGAGGAGGCAGCAGCTTCATGGGCTGGCTTCCCTGGAAATCCACCAGCCCAACACTGCGACCAGCCGATTATTCTAATGGCCCTGCTAAAGGGCGTGTGCTCGCCCTGTGAGGCTTTGGGGTGTAAAGAGCAGGTGGCAGAGATGTGGGGACCACAGACTCACCTCCATGCCCACTTGGGCAGATCAAATGAGGTGGCCTGCCCCAGCTACAGAGCCCCAGGTGTGGGTGCAGGAGGACTTATCAAGCCTGATGCTCGTGTCCTGCAAACTGCAGGACAGCTGCTGTGGGCTGAGCCCTTCCTGTGTGTGCGCCAGGCCCGGGCAGGTGTTCAGCGTGTAGAGCATCACTGGATCTTCACAGGAATCCTTACCGAGCACCGATACTCTTGTCCACAACACACAGATGAGGGATGGAGGCCAAGAGCAGCATGGCCCACCCAGGGCCACTCATCTAATACCCACAACAGCACAGGATGCAGTGTGTCCAGTACCCCTCCTATCTCGAGATGCTGCCCCTGTGGAGGCCCCTGGTGGCACTGATGGGGCTGTGGGCTGCTTAGGTGGTAATGAGGCTGGCTGGTCCCCTGTGAGGCTACTAGGAAACAACTGAGGGGCATGGACTGAGCTGGGAAACAGCACTTTCCTCTCTTAGAAGCTTCCTGGCTTCCTTGGTGCCGTACTGAGGGGACAGGCAGTCCTAGCCCCACCCTTGGGGAGCTCCTAGAGCAGCTGGGAGGAGACACAGCAAATGAGGGTTGTGAAATGGTACCTGGAGGAGAAGGTGGGAGGGTGGGGTGTAGACAGCACCAGGACCTGCCCCAGACAGGAAGGCAGGGAGGCTCACATCACCATGAGGTAGGACAGCCAGACTGCTGCAGGCCAGACCCAGATGGGGAGATGGCAGGGCAAGAGCAAAGGGCACATAATACAGAGACATGGCAAGGACGAAGGACTCTCAGCCTCTCTAAACCTGTCACGGGCCAGAGGGTTCAGTGGCATGGCACATGTCATGTGCTTTAACAGGTTATGTACCCAGCAAGTGCTAGTACCAGCTAGCCAGGCCATGGGGCAATTCAAAGATTTCTTGGGCAAGGGAGATGCAAAGGCATAGGGATGGCGGCATCTCCATGGCATCCAAACAGGCAGCTGGAAACAGGAGTATGGATCCCAGAGGGAGGTCTGGGTTTGCGGGAACAGCTTTGGACTAGGTGGAAGTGAAGGCCAGTGGATGCGTGAGCACACTCAGTGAAGTGCAGAACACACAAACAGAAGCGGGGCTGGGGCCAACTCCTGAAAAAGCCGCTATTTGAGGGGTTAGTGAAGGGGGACGAGCCCAAGGAGACACCAAAGAGGAGAAAGGAGGAGCTTGCCCCAGAGGCCGGGGAAGAGGGTGAAACGGTCCTCGTCAGAGGTAGGGGCGGTGGGAAGGAGGTGGACTAGGATGGGGGCGGATCCCTCCCCTCCAGGTCTGGCTGTGGGAGGTCACTGGTGACCTGCCAAGGCCAATTCCTGCCCCGTGGACAGACGGTGAAGAAGTGGGGAAAATGAGCGAGCATGGCTCACTCGCAGGGGTCTGGCCATGGCGAAAGAAGCGTGGATGCAGCAGCGGGGGACGTGAGGAGGAACTCTGGCTGAAGTTCCTGGTGTTTTGTAGGAAGGAGAAGCTCTGATTGCTTAAATGATGATAGGAGGGGCCGGAAGCAGACGCTTGTTCGGTGCCCCTCGTTGAAGATCCAGGAAAGCCTGGATGGAAACCCACGGAGCAAGAGCCCGGGGAGCCTGGGAGAGAACAGGAGCTGACAGCTCCCGCCATTTCAAATACACTCCAACCTTCCCTGTAACGCTCTCTCATCCTCATGCCCCCCTTCCCAAATAGCTCACATCACTTCAAAAACCTCTGACACACTTCTGCAACCACTTTACAAAGTAGTTTGCCTCACTAGAAAAAGAGATTAGGAAAAAAATGAGTTTTTCTCACCATATATATATATGTATACATACATAGACATATACGTACATATATATGAAACATATACATTTTTAAAAATGGCCTTTAGAAAGAAGACAAATCTGAGACAAACTTGCAGATATGCCTTTGGATAAAGAACATTATAAAGTATGTTGCTATAACTCAACCCACACGGAAAATACTTTAATTATAATATTTAAGCAAGAAAGCATAAAGAACAGTATGTATTGCTCAAAAATAAATTTAAGGATGCCTATGGATCCAGTTCTTTAGAAGCAAAGATTTATGAAATCATTTCTATCCTTTAAAAAGTGATTAAATAGCAACTGAAACATTCAAATTAAACTACCAGAACTTTGTGACTTAAAGGAAAAATATCCAAAACTAACATAAGGTATGAAACAGTTTCAACTTTCACCTTTTCTACCTTGAGTCCATTATTACTTCAGCCTAGAAAACCCACAGGGAGGCACTGAGCCACGCCCAGCTGCGTCCTGGACTGCACTGTCCTGTCCAGGGGAGAGTGGCAGAAATCCCGGCTCTGCCTCCAGTGGTCACGTGACCCTGGGCATGTCCTTTGCCCTCTTCCAACCTAGCCTCGCCCACTTCATAGCACCATGGTGAGGGGCACCATCTTGGTTGCAGTAGGTGCCATTAGACGGGAGTATTGATTACTTGTGGCTTTGCCAAGGGCGCTAGCAGAGAACCATGGCTCTCTCTGTGTGGGGCATGCTTTTAACAGGTATTTCCCCACTCCATTTATTCAAGATTTGACTTACCACTAAACCACATGATGAACATCATCTTCGGTGTGATTTTATGATCCCGGAAGAAATTCAGGAGGTAGGAAAGAGGGAAAATGTTTACCGCTCTGCCAAATAGTACAAGCACCTGTTGATAGCAACAAACTAAGTCTTAGGTGAAAACATCTGGCTCTTCACGCTGAAGCTTCTTGAAGCTGTTGCAGACTGTGTAACACATCCAGTACAAACGCAGCATTCCCCTCATTCCCCTCAGCCACAAAAGACACGAGCAACACCATGCTCGTGAGAAACCCAGCATGGGCGTGCTGCCGGAGCTGCAGGATTCTATGCATCTAGGAAAGGATAAAGCTTTGTACGTTACCTTTCTCAGTAGCCAGAAAAGAGAACCGACGAGGTATCAGGAAGGGCATTAGTAATGACAGCAGAACAAAACTGAATGCCAAGAGGCTGTACAGAAGTATTCACAGATTAGTTTAAGGAAAACCTGACTCCAATGGCGCTCCTCCTTGGGACAGGCCTGCATTGATCATTCCAGCCCCAAGGGGACAGACAAGGTGTTTCTGCCTCTCCCTCAGGGAAAGGAGGGCAGCTGTGAAGGACCTACCCATGTGTGGAAACACTGCTGTCTGAGCAAGAGGAACGCAGAGGTAGGGTCTACAAGGAGGCCATATGCCCTGGCTTAGCCGGCCAACTTCTTGCTGTGGCTTTTGGTTCCTCTCCAACTCCAAAGGCATGTTAGTCTTGGCAAAGTACAGCTTTATGTAAAGTTCACATCTTTTGTTGTTTGTTTTTTTTTTTTTTTTTGAGACAAGGTCTCGCTCTGTCTCCCATGCTGGAGTACAGTGGCGCGATTGTGGCTCAATGCAACCTCAACCTCCTGGGCTCAAGTGATCCTCCCACCTTAACCTCCCAAGTAGCTAGAACTACAGGCATGCACCACCATGCCTGGCTAATTTTTTAAACTTTTTAGTTAAAGATGAGGTCTTGCTATGTTGCCCAGGCTAGTCTCAAACTCCTGGTCTCAAGCAATCATCCTTCCTTTGCCTCCCAAAGTGCTAAGATTACAGGTGTGAGTCACTGCACCCAGCCTAAAGTTTAAATCTTATCCAAGTGGATTCTTAGGACATTTATTACTTTACTTTCATTTTCTTCATTTTGGTTCTTACCATAATTACTTGAAAAGGATGACACAGACATATACAGCACATTCTTTAGGCTTTCAGTTTATTCCTTTAACAAGCATGAATTTTACAGTATTTTTTTTTTTTTTTTTTTTTTTTTTTTGAGATGGAGTGCTGTGGTGCGATCTTGGCTCACTGCAACATCTGGCCCCCAGGTTCAAGCAATTGTCCTGCCTCAGTCTCCCTAGTAGCTGGGATTACAGGCGTGTGCTACCATGCCCAGCTGATTTTTGTATTTTTAGTAGAGACTGGGTTTCGCCAAGTTGGCCAGGCTGGTCTCAAACTCCTGACCTCAAGTAATCTGCCCGCCTCAGACTCCCAAAGTGCTGGGATAATAGGTGTGAGCCCTCATGCCTGGTCAAGAGTAAATGTTTCCAATCATCAAACATTTCTATGCCAGACAACATGCTGATCATTTTACATGCATTATCCTGCTAAATTTAAATCCCTGCAAAGGTCTTATAAAGTAGGTATTATTATCTCCAGTTTATAGGCAAGGGAACTGAGGTATAGAGAGATGAAGTAATTGGTTCAAGTTGAAAAGGCAGGAAGTAATGGATTCAAGCCTCAAATCTGGTTCAGACCCCAAAGCCCATGCTCTTGACCACTAAGCGGAGCTTACAGGGTAGGAACTGTAACCCATCTGAACAGCACAGGCCATCTCCACTAGCTGCAGGGCCAGCCTGGGCCTAACTGCTTAGAGAAAACTGAGTTGTCACCCCAGGGCATCCTCTCATTTTCCTCCCAACCTGTGGCTGAAATAGTCACCTCCCTGTTTCACCCACTGAAATCCAATCTTCCATGCCTACACTGGTGTTTCAGGTTTGATTAAATGTGTCCCCTTTTATCCAGTGGCCACACTAAAGGCTATTATACTTTTTTTTGAGACGGAGTTTTGCTCTTTTTGCCCAGGCTGGGGTGCAAATGGCGAGGTCTCGGCTCACTGCACTGCAACCTCCACCTCCCGCGTTCAAGCAATTCTCCTGCCTCAGTCCCCCGAGTAGGTGGAATTACAGGCGCGGACCACCACGCCCAGCTAATTTTGCATTTTTAGTAGAGACAGGGTTTCACCATGTTGGCCAGGCTAGTTTCGAACTCCTGACCTCATGATCCACCAGCCTCGGCCTCCCAAAGTGCTGAGATTACAGGTGTGAGCCACTGCATCCAGCCTAGGCTATTATACTTTCTGTAAAGGACTTTTGCTACTTTTGCTGCTTTTTTTTTGCCCTGAAACCTGAGTTTGGAGGACGAATAACAGTGACCAAGAGCAATGAGCTCTTGCTGAGTGACAGGTGGAAGTACCCAGGTTGCAGGAAGACTATCTTATAAACAGACAAATATAAATAGACAAATTTGAAGAAAACTGCAGTAAGAAGTACATAATAAACTATCCAGAAAAATTAGGAAAGAGAAAGAAATCCCAGCTCTATAACCACTGTGAACATGTGGCTACATTTTCTTTACATACTTTCTTTTTCTCTGTGCATAATAGTTTTACATGGTTATGATCAATTACATATTCAATTTTGAAATCTGCTTTTACCTCCTCACACAAAAACCTACAAACCTGTACTTTTATTTAAAGACCATAATATTCAAGGCCATTAAAAATCTTAAAAAACAAGACTGAGCGCGGTGGCTCATGCCTGTAATCCCAGCACTTTGGGAGGCTGAGGCAGGTGGATCACGAGGTCAGGAGTTCAAGACCAGTCTGACCAGTATGATGAAACCCCATGTCTACTAAAAATACAAAAATTAGCCGGACACGGTGATGTGTGCCTGTAATCCCAGCTACTTGGGAGGCTGAGGCAGGAGAATCACTTGAACCTGGGAGGTGGAGGTTGTAGTGAGCTGAGATCGCACTATTGCACTCCAGTCTGGGCGACAGAGCGAGACTCCATCTCAGAAAACAAAAAAAACAAAAAAAACAAAAAACCTTAAAAAAGTCCTTGCTGGGGATATTTATTCACTTAATTCTACCCCTGCCCTCTTAGTGTATGTTTGTGATTTTTTTTTTTAACAAAAGAAACTTTAAACAAAAGACTGTCTATGTAGCTGTTGACTTTGAACAGTTAACAGTTACATAAACAAATCCAGAACATGTGTTTATTGATCTACAAATAAGTAATTAAATAAAAAAAAACAAGGAAAATACTTACTATGCACCAGATGACAAAGGAAATTTCAAACTTGTGAGGAAAACTAAAAATGGACAGGCCAAGAAATGCAAACACACATGTTTCTGAAACAAACCAAAGAATGGATTATTCAACCCCAATGATTTCATTCCAATATGGTACTAAACTGTTAAGCAAGCAAACATTCACAGGCAGAATCCAATACAACACTTTCCTTATTTTCTTGAAAACCCTGCAGCCAATATCTTGGCCAAACTTGTGCTTAAATTCTCTTATTCTTTTCTACTATATAAGCAATATGTCCCTGGTATTCAGAAATCTCTTAATGTAATGAGTCAACTGTCAAATACTTCTGCAAATAAACGCAATCCCGCCCAGGGAAGATGGAAACACATGAATCTGCCGATCTGCTGAACACTGTCACTAGCTAGGGTCCCAACTGTGGCAACGTGGCCAAAATTCAGAGCAAATGACTGCGACGCCACATGACAAACGTGAAGGGGTCTTTAGTTAACTTCCACATGATTAGCTTAATATATTTAACATTGCCACAACGTTTAGAACACAGCTCACACCCAGCAGGATTTGCAGAGTGAGACTCATTGCTAACTCTTGGCTCCACTCTGCAAGCCAAAAAGAGCCCAATATTTACTCTCTGTCACACAAACTTGTATATTTTAAGAAAAAGCACCTTATAAATTTCTAACACTAGGCTCTCTGCTTAAACTGTGATGTCCCTCAGAATAGCATAATGACTAAAGAGATTAAAACTGTATATATATATATTTTTAGAGACAGAGTCTCACTCTCTCTCCCAGGCTGGAGTGCAGTGGCATGATCTCGGCTCACTACAACCTCCGCCTCCCGGGTTCAAGCGATTCTCCTGCCTCAGCCTCCCGAGTAGCTGGGACTGTAGGTGCCCGCCACCACACCCAGATAATTTTTTTTTTTTTTAGTAGAGACAGGGTTTCACTGTGTTGGCCAGGCTGGTCTCGAACTCCTGACCTTGTGATCCGCACACCTTGGCCTCCCAAAGTGCTGGGATTACAAGCGTGAGCCACTGCGCCTGGTCTAAAACTGTATTTTAAAATAGCTGATCATAAAGAGCAAGGCTGTTTTACATTCTAACAATGTTTTTCCTTTGAATGGTACCCAAGTTTAAAACAAGTCCACAAGCTGGAGAGTTTACCCACCCTCCTCTCTTTGAAATTTTTTCTTATCTAATATTTGTGTGATCTTTCCAAATGAGCACATTTAGAAGACATTCAGATCTAGTGGATGCTTTTTCCTGGCAGCACCAACTCCAAGGTCTGGATATATCATGGTTAACCAAAGCCCCTTCACATTTGTCATGTGGCGTCGCAGTCATTTGCTCTGAATTTTTGCCACTTTGCCACAGTTGGGACCCTTGCTAGTGACAGTGTTCAGCCAGCAGGCAGAATCGTGTTTATCCTCTTCCCTGGGTGGGATCATGTTTATCTGCAGAGTATCTGACGGTCTTTCAGTCACACTTGACAAACTGTCAAAATTTGACAATTTTTCTAATGACCAATCCTCTATGGATGGATATTTAGATTGTTTCTATTTCTGAGAGGTTCAGCAAACACCCCAGTACAGGCTAAATTCCACACGGTTGAACTGTTGGGCCAAAGAGTACGTGCCTTTTAAATTCAGACAGACATGGCAAATGACTCTTCAGAAAAGATTCCAGTAGGCCTGTTTTCCACACACCAAGGCCAGAAGTGGGTATTATCAAGCTTAACATTTGCCAGTCTGCTGGGTAAAAAACAGAATCTTTTTGGATGGATGATTTGCTTTATGTGTCTTTAACTGGGAGGGTCAGAGTCAGAATCTGTAGTCTCACTTTCTGAGAGAGGTGCTGTACAAATAATACCCTCTGGCCCAGGAAGAGAGAGACCTGGCCCAGGAATAGAGAGAACTGGCCCAGGAATAAAGAGACCTGGCCTGCATACCCACTTCTTGGCCGTGAGACCATGGGCAAGTCACGTGACTACTCCTCACCTGAGCCTCCTTATCTGCTGAAGTTTCTGCCTGGCCTGCCCCTGCCTTCTAGCATGCTAACAGTGTGGAAGTAGCAATTAAAAATGAGACAAATGACTGGGCGTGGTGGCTCTTGCCTGTAATCCCAGCACTTTGGGAGGCTGAAGCAGGTGGATCACAAGGTCAGGAGATCAAGACCATCCTGGCTAATACGGTGAAACCCCATCTATACTAAAAATACAAAAAACAAAATTAGCTGGGTGTGGTGACGGGCACCTGTAGTCCTAGCTACTGGGGAGGCTGAGGTGAGAGAATGGCGTGAAACCGGGAGGCGGAGCTTGCAGTGAGCCAAGATCGCGCCACTGCACGCCAGCCTGGGCGACAGAGCGAGACTCCGTCTCAAAAAAAAAAGAGAGAGACAAATCCCCCAAAATGCCAGGGGTGACTTTGATGATGACAACTAGGGCAGGAGCCACTTGGGGGCCAGCTTAGAGAGACATGGTGAGAGTTGTTCCCCGACCCCAACCACTTCCAAGTATAAAGTTGGTGGGGAGATACATGGGTATGTCTGAGCGTGGGGAGAATAAGCTCGAACAAACTGCTTAAAGACAAAGCCATCATGGTTTATCCCAGCCCAACAAATGACACCTCTACTGCAAACTGTCCCCGAGTGATGTCCCTCAGGCTGCTCTGTGAATAAAAGATTCTGTGGACAAGTTTGGAAAATTCTGTAACTATATCCCCCGTTAAGGATTTTACAATGCACATTTGCTGAAAAGTCTGGCAATTCATAAATGTTAAATTTTATTTAACCAGGATTTCCTAAACTCTTGACTACAAAATTTATCTTTTTCTATCTTTCTTTTTTTTTGTTGAAGATCATAGCCCACTGCAGCCTCGAACTGCTGGGCTCAAGTGATCCTCTCAGCCTCCCAAACAGTTGGGATTACAGGCGTGAGCCCCATGCCTTGCTTGACTATGGAGCCATTTTCATCTAACCATCATTAATATTATTTCCAAGGACTACATTTTTGGAAATGTCACATTAATACATTAAAAATTCATGTCTCAAATGTTCGTAATTGGTTCTCACTATTTTTGGTCTTTAAATCGTAGGCACCAGATGTTCATTTATTAGGTGTTTGGTTTACTTTATGAAATTTCAAAGCCAGAGGAACAAACAAAAGATAAGCGAGTACGGGATCTGGCTCTGTGGAGCTGCTGCCCTGCTGCCAAGGAAAGTCTCAACTGACTCTAAAACAGGGTAAGGAAGAAAGATCAGCTCTGGGTGGGCCTGCGCATGGCCACACAGACGCAGAACTCACCACACAAGAAGGCCACGGTGCGGAGGGTCTGCTGCATGAGGATCTGGGTGACTGGGGAGAGGTTATGGTGCGTGTAGTGGGACATCACAATGCCTGAGAACAGGATGGCCATGATGCCTAGACAGGGAAAGAACAGAACAGAAAGCACTGCCGTGTGATCCCCAACTCAGATCTCACAATGCCTGCAAGGCCCTGGGGCCTAAAGCATTAGAGGATTTAAGAAAAAGGAAAATAAACTAATACCTGAAGCCTCCCACAGGCTTCAGAAAAAATACCATGGGTCCCTTCACTCTGGCAGCCTCATTACTAGCTGGGTGACCTTGAGCCACATTACTCAGAGCCTCAGTTTTCACTTCTGTACAGTGGGACTAATAGTAGCCACTCACAGAACTGTTAGGAGGGTGAGTGAAAATAAGCCACATGAAGTCCCCTTCACAGTACCAGAGCTAAAAAGGTATGGACTATCACTGACATCCAGGGATAGTGCTGGCAGATGTGGAACCTATGGCTATTGAGGGCCCACTGCACTGCCCCCAACCTTTTTTTTTTTTTTTTTTTTTTTTTGAGACAGAGTTTTGCTCTTGTCACCCAGGCTGGAGGGCAATAGTGCGATCTTGGCTCACTGCAACCTCTGCTTCCCAGGTTTATGTGATCCTCCTGCCTCAGCCTCCTGAGTAGTTGGGACAACTACTTTTTAGTAGAAATAAAGTTTCACCATGTTGGCCAGGCTGGTCTCGAACTCCTGACCTCGGGTGATCTGCCTGCCTTGGCCTCCCGAAGTGCTGGGATTACAGGTGTGAGCCCACCGTGCCTGGCCAACTGCACCGTTTTGCATAAGGAGCTTGAGCACCTATGAATTTTCTATATGTGGGGAGTCCTAGAGCTGATCCTCCACAGATGCTGAGGGATGACTATATAAGGAGTGCAAGCAAGCAAACCACTCTGGGGGCGCAGAAAGGAGCCTAAGAATCTGCGTAAGGATAATGTATGGATTCTTTTTTTTTTTTTTTTTTTTTGAGACGGAGCCTCACTCTTGCTGCCCAGGCTGGAGTGCAGTGGCATGAACTCGACTCACTGCAACCTCCGCCTCCT